GCAGAGTCATCCACTTGGGATGGCTTCAGAGCAGAGATTTTCATTATTCCAGTTTTGATTTGAGAGAAATTGAGCTTCAACGTCACAATTTTCATTTAACCAGATCAAGTGTGTGTGTGTGTGTGTCTGTGTGTGTGTGTGTATGTGCGTGTGGGTGTGTGTCGTCCCCAGGGCCTGTCATTCTTTTACATGTTTTCTCTTATCCGTTATGACAAAGAAGCAATGAAATCTTAAGGATGCTCCGCACGGGGACGCGATCTTCTTAATTTGTCAGGATTCATCGCACGCACGGGAGCGCGATTTTCTTCTAAAATTTTCAGAATGCTCCGCATCGGAGCGCGATTTTCTTTAAATTCTTCAGGATGCTCCGCACGGGAGCGCGATTTTCTTCAATTTTTTCAGGATGCTCCGCACGGGAGCGCGATTCTCGTCAATTTTTTCAAGACGCTTCGCACGGGAGCGCCATTTTCTTCAAAACAAGACGACCTTGAGCAGAGCATTTTGGTATAGAACTTGTATAGAAACCCTCGACATCATCGTCCATAAATGATCAAAATTTTCCGGATGCTCCGCACGGGAGCGCAATTTTGATGAATCTCCATGAAGATAAACCGACGAAATTTCGAGGATGTCTCGAGCGGGAGAGCGATTTTTGAAGATACGAAGATGATCAAAACGTCGACGATGCCGACCAATCTTATACCAATCCTATACCGGGAAGCTCCCCCAGATACCCCCCTCTTAAGCCAAGAGAGCCAAATCGAACGACATTCATTTGGTATAGGATTGGTATAGAAACCTTCGACATCATCGTTTATCAATGATCAAAATTTCCCGAACGCTCCGCACAGGAGCGCAATTTTGATCGATTTTGATGAAGATAAATGGACGAAATTTCGAGGATGTCTCGAGCGAGCGCGCGATTTTTGAAGATACGAACATGATCCAAAAGTAAAAAAATCGAACTGCCTCGCGCGAGAACGCAATTTGTGATAATTTATAAAGTCCGAAAACCGCGAAATGTTGAGGATGTCTCGAGCGAGAGCGCGATTTTCAAAAATCAGGAGCGCGGCCAGTTCGGTTTTCATCCCCCCTACCAAGAGCACTTTAAAGGCAAGGGCTTGTATTTTTTGTTCGATAATTGATAAACAGACGTCGATTTGTCGAGGATGTCTCGAGCGAGAGCATGGTTTTTAGAAGAACATGAGTACGTCCAGTTCGGTATTTGACCCCCCTAGCAAGAGCACTTTAAAGGCGATGGCTTGTATTTTTTGATCGATGATCGATGAATAACGTCGATGTTTTTGAGAATGTCTCGAGCGAGAGCGCAATTCTTGAATCAACATGAGCGCGTCTAAAATGTTTGAGCGACGGAAGAGCACGCGGTCGGGGTGCGGGCGACAGCATCAAAAACTAGAACCCCACAATGAACGTGGGGAAAAATCAATGTGAGCCTAAAGAGAAAACTGCAATGGAAAATAGCATGGTTTGGATCGATGTCCAAACTGCTGGAAATCACCGTGCCCAGTTCCGCAACGCGGTTTGATACCACTTAAAGTGATGACAAGGCTAGCAATGACAACAGGCTATTATTGCACTGCGCTCTTAACATTCCTTCCTCAAACAGGATTTGGAGGAACAGCAGCAGCAGCAGCAGCAGTTACGCAACTTCAGCAGTAGCAGCAGCCTGGGCGGAAAGAATTGCGGCATCGATCACAATGACTAGAAGTAAAATGAAGAAGCACAACTGGAAAACAATTACAATCCTCCATGTACTCCAAACGATGCTCACAATACTGTCGGCATGCGCCCCTTAGAGAATCAGTACGCTGATGATACTCTACTAACTTTAACCGTAGAAACAATTGTCCTCGCAATACATTCTATCGTATTTCGGGCAGTGACTCATGATTGTGAGAAACTGGCACTTGCCTTCCGTTGCACATTACACCCTTAAACCCAAACCCTAGCTGGCCGAGCATCCATGTCATCCATGTCTACGGCTCGAAATGAATCAGTTGACGGAGCCTTTCGCTGAGTATCAAAGTTTGGGGGGTCATTTCTTAGAGTCCTAGGGCTGTTATTGCCAGGGGTCCTAATATGCCATCTACGTCTGAAAATAAGCACACCTTTGGAGCAAAGCCGGGATGGTCACCAGAGCATCATGTGGCGTAAACATAAAAACAGCGATTGCAAACTATCAAGTAATTGTCAGCGTCCGAACGCACAGGTTCCATGACGTCGCTGCTAATGAAGCGCGCTGAAAGGAATGATGTCCGAAGACACAAACAAGTTCAACTTCTGAGCACCCTTCATGAATACCTATAATTCACCAAAGACTCAATCCCAAGCATGTTTGTGGCACGGAGGCATGGTGCTGTCAACAACCATTCCCTACTCATGCTTCCATATACCTAAATGCTACACTTGTGCTGGAATCTTTCAGCTGTGGATAACTCAGGAGCCTGAAGTGTCTTCATCTTCTTTCCGTCCAGAGATGGCGAAGCAACTCGTGATTCCAGTGTTTTGGAGCCCCTGGAGCGCGCGGAGCGCGCGGAGCCAGACCGTTCAGAGTCCCAAGTCTGCATTCTCCTCAACTTTTCTGGTGTTCGGAGAGTGTCCGGCGGTCTGTCCAAGCGGAAGGAGAACTCCGTCGACTTGCCTGAGTACACGCCATGGCTAGAAGAATCGACCCGCCCAGGCCATCGACATTTGCAAGCCAAGCAGCCCAGCAAAGAACGCATACGTAGTCTTTGGACAGTCATGTGGTGCTCATGCTGCTTCATGATATCGTCCCTGACGTTTGCAAAGATGGCATCCAAATGCCGGCTGAACGGCTCCATGCTCGCCATGGCTCCTTCACGGCCTACGCCTGCTTTCTGGGGGACTATCCATCCCAGAGCTGAGCAAAATGCCACCGGACACACAAACCCCCTGAGGCTGCTTGATTTGGGGTAGTATATTGCGGTGATATAGGGATAATGGAAAAATAAATGGAAACTACAATATTGTAGGGGTTATATAGGGAATACAGGGTATATACTGTAGGTCCCAAAGGTGATACAAAGGGAATTTGGGGTCCCTACTAGATGTCGGGAAGGAAGAATGGTTTTTGTTGTCAAGCTGCCACTCTGCCAGCTGTTTCAAGGCCAGCCGTGTTTTGATACCAAGCTCAAGCTTGAAATATCCACAAACATTTGCTTAGCAAACGTGTGAACTAGGTAGAGGCCACTGTCTTGCACACATGCAGCAGTCAAAACTGAAAAATAACCCCTATTGGCCTGACTTCTGGGCACCAGAGGGGCACAGCTTCGAATTGAAGCTAGCTGGAGTAGTTTTCCAGGCTCACGCGAAACGTCGCGCTTCCTGCTCCTGCAAGGAGCATATCAGAGGCTGCTGTAAGCGAAAGCGAGGCAAACGGGCAAACCGACGTCATGCTGCTGAAACCGGTTGTGGGCGCTCGCCACAAAGCTTCCCTCAAAAGACCTCCATTATTGAGAAGTGGGAAGCACATGGAAGCACAAGAGCTTCTCTTTAAAAGCAAGGCTTTTTCGTCCAGAGATCGCGTGCATGAACCAGTCAGTAAGGACATGCCACCTTGCGGTTGGGCTCTGGCATGTGGTTGTTTCCAACGGCAAGCATCTCCCTTGTCGAAAACACCTAGTGGGTTTACATTTCTGGTCGAGCTGTTTGGGGCCATGGTGTGCTTCAAACGCACTTGTCAGGCCTGCATGTTTCTCAAGAATGTGCTCTGTTCCGCCTCACAGCTGTGATGCACGGGATCATCTCTGATAGTCCTCCTCACAAATCTTGCTGCAGTTCTCCGTGGTCCGGTCACGGCTCACGTAACCGTGCACGTGGTTGATGCTTGAACATCAGTCGCAATTTGAATGGGAGCTTGCGGTTGTGGGTCAGCTGTGTCAGACCTGCTGCGGTGGACCTCAGATCCAGTTTCGCAGCTCTCCTGACGCTCAGCGACAAACTGGGCAGCGCAGAAAAAGTGTCAGGCAACCAAGTGCAAGCCGCGCACCGCATCCGTGGTAGTTGGTTGAACACTTCTTGCTGGCAAGTGTTGCACACTTTGGGCTCGTCGAACGGGGCCCGTGGTCATCTTCACAAGTAGGAACTTCTATTGACACGACATTCACAGTGTCACACTGCAAGCACGGACATGCACAGTTTAAAGATTCTGGCCTGTAGCTTCCTGTGGAGGTGATGGAACCATTTGTGCTTCAGACACTCGGCCGCGGATAAACGCTTTGATGCATCCTGCATCCAAGCTCTGCCCAATATTTGTGCGGATGCCATGAAAAGCTATCCTTCCGCAACATGCCGCACAGGAAGTTGGCCAAGGCCTTGGCATGCTTCTTGCCAGAAAACCATGCTCCATGCTTCTGGCAAGCAATTCAGGCAGGCAGCTCCGCTTCTGCTTCGGACTGCGTCGTACATCGCTGGCGCGATGATGTCAGTCTCCATGTCAGCCAGCCATGTCAAGAAGTCCATGTCAGCGCCCGTCCTCCAACAGCAGTCAGCAGTTGAATGCCCTGTGAATACCTAGACGCCTACATGTACCATATGCTGCGCATCTGTCTATCTGATTCCAACTGATTTCAAAGCCGAGAGCAGGCAGGAGTGCATCTGCTAGCCATGAGGCAACATCTACCTGCTAGCTAGAAAAGCTGTTAGGAGACTGTCGCCTCACATTGGCAAGCTGGCCCACTCTTGCGGAGAGCAGATCAAACCTCCCTTTTTGCACAACTCCCGGTCGCCTTCGCTTCAACTGCAGGTATCTGTCGGTCAGCGCAGATGACAAAAACACCGTCTCCAGAACGCAGATTGCAATACTCCACAGGTCCATTGATGCAGTCAGCACTACCTCAGCGTCGAACTTCAACTGCTGACACCGCCGCCAAAAGGAAAAACACGGCTCTCTGATCTCTACCGCAACAACCACTGACTACCAGCTGGCGCTGCCGGAGAGCTGTCTGTCTTTCTCAAGCAAGGTGCTGGGCAATGCTGTGCATGGCCAGGACCCGCCTTGAGGTAGGCTCTGGCTAGCTCTGGTGCCATGTATGGTGGAGTGAAGGAAACATCCCCATATCGCACCATCACCTGGCCGGACACAGACAGCTTGGGGCCATCTAATGCATCCAGGGATAGCCGAGCAGCACCAGCCCTTGCTGCGCAGTCCTCAGCAAGTCGGCTGGTCAAGCAGCGACAACATGGCCGGCAAGAAAGGCACCGGGAGACTAAACTGGGTTGCTTTTGAGGAGCTTAATTTAAGTTACATCATTGGGAAACCAAATGAATTACTGAAAATACCCATTATGGTGACTTAACTTAAGTTCCTCAACAGCAACCCAGTAAATAGACGACTCAGAAGAAGCTAGGCCACGAGGTCAATGAGCTTCCATTGCCACCTCTCACCACCTGAGCCATAGCCTAAAGGGAAACCGTATTAATTGCCATGTATACCCACTATGCTAACTTAATTTAAGTGCCTTAACAGCAACCCAGTCGAAAGAAAGTACAAGCAGGTTTTGGAAAGGACAACGCCTGCAGCCTCCAAGGCAATGTCCAAACAGCCTTGCTCTCCTGCCCTGGAAAGCCCTGCCTTTGGGTACTCTGACGATGTTTGAGGGCTTGATGTCCAGGTGAACAACGCCATGCAGCTGTAGCCTGGGAAAATTCCAAGCACACAGCATGTGATGCAAAGGGGGCCTTCGCCGAAGAAGCTGGCACGCCATGGACACCAGCGCCCAATGAAGATCGCAAAGCTCCACAACCGAAAAGTGTCTCGCCTCGCGGTACCTCCTAGCCAGCACATCTTCCTTATGATAGCGGGCTTCGTGACAGAAGTTTGAGTCTTTGAGATCCTACTGAATCTGCAGGCCACATGTCAAACTGCGCACGTGCGAGGGATTGCGAACTGCGAGCAACTAACACGATGATGAGCAGTGCTAACTGCAAGTGAGGTGCAAGAGACTCAGCACCGAGCTCCATGACTGTAAAGAGCATTCCAGTGGAGTCGACACCCGGGTAGCCGCGGCTATCAATGGAATGACCCAAAATATCCACAGTCCATGTGCCCTTGCCTAGCAGCAGCAAAATCAGCACGCAGCACGTATCATGCACTACTTCAACCTTCACAAAAATGTGAACTGTACTCATGGAAAACGTGACAAGCGCGTTCGTCATGGAACTAGTGATGCCAGGAATATAATTGGCAGGGATAACAATACCCAAGGGTGATTGAAGTCGTGCTGTGCTAGCTAGCCATGCTTGCAAGAGTCCAGGTGGTGCATGCCTAGCTGGACGCTTCAGGCAGGAACCCATCTCCAGACCATTTTGGAAGCAATGCTGGCACATCCTGGAAGTAGTGACTAGGGTGGCTGCTGCTCTTCAGAGAATACTCCTACCCGAATGTGGGCTCTGCTGTTGCATTCAGCCAGAAGTCTCCACAAGTCATGTCAACCCTTGGCTTCTTACATTCTCAATGTGCGCAACGTGCTTCCCAAAATAGCACTCAAAACTGCTCAAAACTACTTAAAATTATTCGGGTTGAGACATGTTGGGCCACAAAACGGTTTTCAACGGTTTCTTGGTGCCTTGATGTGCCTTGTTTTACTTCTTTCTCGTACAATTTTCAAGCATCATAAGCTACCCTAAACTTACTAAAAGAAACTGAGCTCATCTACAATTCCTGTCATAGACCACTTGCTAGGAAGACAAGCTGAAGACCTGAGGAAACCACAAAATCTCATGGTTTGAGGCTTTTTTGGGGTTGGTTTACGTGAAGCCGTATACTTTGAGGCTCAGCAATCTGGGTTCAAGGTTGAAGTGGGGGTTTCCCTAAATTAGGGATACCATTTTGGGGGTTCCCATAATAAGGATTATAGTATATTGGGGTCTACATTGGGGTCCCCTTATTTTGGGAAAGTGCCAAGTCGAGTTTTGCGAGGCTTAAGGAGACATCAAGAGGTTTCAGGGTGCAGAGGCTTCGAACCTTCGAGGTTTTGCGGCTTCCATGTTCGAGGCTTCAAGATCTCCTGCCAAGGCTTCGAGTGTCGAGCTGCCAAGGGCTTGAGATTTTGAGATGTCCTAGATTTTTGGGAAAATCCTTTGCCACGTCTGATCTCCAGGACTTGCAGGAGTTGGGAGGGAATTCTAATAGGGGGTGGCCTTACTAGTCCTTTAGGCTTTAGCGCTCAGAACCTGATCCCAACCGCCTCGAACCAATGTCAAGTCTAATGAATGCTATTCTTAAAGCACAAACCGGTACCAGCCCACAACTAAAAATTTTCTCTCTCTTGCATCATCCCGGAACTCTCGCTATATCATGCCCATCAACCCCCTGAAAAAGGAACGTAAAACAAGGTCTTATGCATTACTCTAAGTTTAGCTTCAGAGGCCTTTTGTAATGGAGGCTTTCTCATCCTCCCACAGCCTACGCTGACCGGGTCAGGCAACCTGGAGTCTGATAAATTTTCCTTCGCTTCGGAATAGTCAGCACACTTCCTGCAATTTTTGAACTTGGCATGTCCTGTCGGTGTCGTGATAAATCTTGAGCGCCACAGGGTGACCCCGCTGTCTGTCGATGCCTTTGTAGACGCGAGCTGCGCGGCCTTCCCCCAAGACATCTTGCACTGAGTAGGTGTACCTTCCATCTGACATCCACAACATGACTCTCAGGGAGAAGGCATGGCTCTTCTCCATGAATATGAAGATCCCATGCAAAGTTTCTGCCCTGCCTTCCTTGCAACGTCACAGCTGGCGAATGGCTTGCCACAGTGCTGCATCGGAGCATTCAAGCCGCTTTGGGATTGCATGGTCGCACAAATGTGGCAGACATGGCCAGAGGGTCAGAGGGGCAACAAGAGGGGCCACTGTGACTGTTTCATGTTGGTTTGGGCCGCACACCAGCTTCAGGTGGTGGGTCTTGCAACAGGACTGAGGTTGTGGAGACTAGCGTAGAGATCGATACAGCTGTGGCTCACTGGGAGCAAGCTTCGGGTCTGCCTATGCGGTTTTTAGCTGGACGGCTGCGCGCTCAGACCAAACACTGCCCAAACTGCACAGGAGCCAGAATGGAATGGTCTTCTTATTTGCATCATCCGGAGGAAACCCAATAGAACACCTTCCCGCCATCGAGCCCCCCAAACACTACATGCCAAGCCCCAAAGCCCTGAACCTTCCAGGGCATCCTCGTATCAGCGGGTGGCCAGCTTGGGGTCGACTCCACTTTTGGCCTTGGGAAGCGCATGGTTGAAAGCCCGGCAGCAAATACTAAGCTCCAATTGTTTAATAAAAGCTCCCCATGTGGATGTACTGAAACGCTGTGACGGCAGTATGGAGTTTCTTCCCTGAAGCGTTGCCAAGTAATTTCGCATGGAAGCGCTTGTCTATAGGATAGCTTGCTGTTTGATGGATGGGATGACGTGAATGAGTGCTCTACAGGATGACTTGATGCTTGATTGATGCAGTGATGTGATTGGGTGTGAGAATGGGATGGCTTGATGTTTGATTCATGGGATGATTTAAATGAGTCTGAGATTGTATGATGAGGTTGTTGTACGGATTGGATGGGATGTAAGGTTCTTCATCTTACGGTCAGAGAGCAAGTAACATGGAAGGATGAAGTGATGGATGGGTGCATGTATGCATGGAGAAATGGACGCGTGCATGTCACTCCTTCTACACTTACTGCACGAAGTTCCCTGCGCTTTGGTAAGAACCCTCACATGCGGAAGCCCCATTTATGAGAAACAAAATATACCAAAAACCTGTAAGCTACGCCCAGCAAGGCATCCGCAACATGGAGAATAGTACTATCGGACTTTCCATCTTCTAACTAGCTTGCTTACTCTTGCATCATCCATGCCAAGTGCCAACATGCCGTTTACAAGTAGCTGTCCGTGCCGGGGAATTGACTTGCTGGTCCTTTCTTCTTGTTGACATCATCGTGAGGTAGGCCTGAATCGCACCGATGAAGATTTGCTCATTCAACCAAGCCCACCACACTGCTTGGTGAGAAGCACATGGTTTGGACTTGTTTCTAAAACATCCTGCCTTGCCCATGTCGTTTAGTGGCCGGTCATGTTCAGCTTGATTGAATGCATACACCGGGGTGCGTGTCGTGATGTGCTTGATGTAAGCCTTATGCACACAAGGAAGTAGTCGCAATTGTCAATGCGCCATGCCATAAGCCTGTCACAGTCCTCAGCCTAGAGCGGGCTCATCTGGCACTGTCGGTGTCACCTGCCAAGCTGGGCCTTACGCAGAACTCACGCAGCGTTGATACGCGTCTGCGCCTTTTTCTTGACGAACTGCGTCGCGTTAGCACGTTCACGCTCAGCCATGATCTCTGCGTACCTCCACTGCGAGAAGGCAAACTCTCCGCGCAGCAGTTAGAACCCAGAGCCAGAGTCAAGACAACAGCGGGCACCACTAGTAACAGCATGAACATTAGCACACATTAGCACAGACCCAATAAGCAATAGTTTGCAACCTACGCCTCCAACTGACCCTAATAAAATCACCCTACTACTATAATCCCTACTGCAGATATTCCCTCTTTAATCCCTCTCAATAAACCCCTCATGACCCTGAAGCAGCCACAGGTCGAACCTCCTGTACATCGGCCCCAGATACCACTCGAACTGGGGCAGGCCTCATCTGGGTATATGGGTTTCCCAAATTATACTGTTTTTGGGGTCCATATTGGGGTCCCCCTACCTACCATATAGGGATGGATATGTAGGGGAAATGGAAAAGGAAATGGAAACTGGCATTCATGAAGCCACCGTGAATCCTAACACATTCTTGCTGCACAAGGCTGTTCAACCTCCCTCCCAGGTGGGTACCCTTCTGGGAGACCTGCATGGACCTGACATATGCCGGCTTCCCTCATAGAAGAACATATCAGCTTTATGTGCGGGTAACTCCCCCCCCCACCCAAACGATCCCTAATCTTTTCCCATGCACGCCAAGCCACGCAATCGGCAAGCTTGCACCTTCGACGATTTGCCTGCGGTCAAGCACACCCGTCTTCTCGCTGATTGCTGCAAACTTAAACTCTTGACGTGTAACAGAAGGCCTTCCTGGCTGCGAGCAGTATTGGACGCCTCACGATGTCGGATGATATCAGTAGCACGGTGGCAAGAATCAGGCTTGTGCTTCTGAGTGACTGAGGGAAGGATTGAGTTCATCGCTGCCATGAAAGCCTCCACGGCCAGAGCAAACTGAAAGACTAGAAAGTTGGCATAAGATGTTGGTGTGAGACCTGTCTGCATGACTTGGGCAAGCGCTTGGCGGCAAGGTAGCCAGCGGGGATCCGTTCCTTCTCTGTCATGTCCTGCGTCCCTAGGCAGCCTTCTGATCCAGCAGGGTGATGCACAGCATGAGTTCAACTCTCACGGCTCCACGACAGGAAGAAAGCTAGCTCAAACGCACCTGCTGTGGCAAAATCATTCGAATGATTTTCTGCTGAGTAAGTCAATTGGCTAAAAGTCGCTTCCACTAAGACAATCATGAAATTCGTCGTCTGTAGGTACTTTGACCGGACGGGCCTTTCTTTTGGCCTTCACGGCCTTCTCTGGAGATTTGGACTCGGCCTTTTCGGCCTTGACCGGAGCTATGCCCAAGATCTCCTCGCTCGACAATGGCGACCCATCCGGCGAAAGCTCGCCCGGCGCCAGGCCCGCTTCTCTCTTCAATGACGCCAGCAAGCTCTCAAACTCCTCAGCTGGTAGCAAGAGCCTTGGCCTAGTGCAACTATTCGCACCCTGAAGCGCATGTGCAAATACATATCAGTGACAACGTAGGTAAGGATTTATCAACTCTGAAACCTGAAAGCACTGGCTGGCTACTTCATCCAGGCCAGCTGCTGAGTCAGAATCTCATATACACCCCCAAGCAAAAAGAAAACACCCTTGCCTGATGAGATTGCCTCCTCGCAACAATAACAACAACTATCCTTTGTCAACACGCGAAGACTATCAAATTCATACTCGCATGAACGGTCTCGAGAAAAAGAGGCTGTTAGGGTCTTGGGCCATCAGCCAGGCAACAGAGCCTCCTGATCCTAACCCCAAACACTGTGGCTGCAAACCCAAAGCCCCAAGCCACCCAAGAGCCTAAACTCAAAACCTCACGGCGAGAATCTGTGTTGGACTGCTCCATGCGTGCAGGTCCTGTTAGCGTCGGGCTGTCATCCTGGAGCAGCTGCTCGTGTTGTTGGAGCTGCTGCTTCTTCATCTTCTGCTTCTCTCTCCTCAGAGGAGGACCACATAACAACCGGCACCTACATTTTCAAAACAAAGGTGATGAGAATCCTGACCACACTGATCAACACAGTAGGAGGCATGGAATCCTTCAACGGCCTATAAATTCATGTGCCTCCACTCTATGCATCCAGCACTCTGTCGCTGCTTGCGCGTCTTCTGTTGCTCCACATGTGCTGCCTCAGCTGTGGAGTTTTTGGGTCTGAGAATCTTTTTCTGGTTGTCCTCATGCGTGACGACTCCTAGTAGAGGCCAGCTTTGATAGCAATGTCTGACTTGCCAGAGAGAATTTGTCAGCTGACGGTTGATCTGCCAAGTGGCATACTCTTGTCTTTCTGCTTCCGATGCGATTGGCTTTGCGACCGCTTGCCTGACAAGGTCGTCACGAGCCCATCTGTCGACTTCCTGAGCTACATCACAGACACAAAAGATGCTTTTACCCCCAGACGTTTGGCTCAAGAGGTGCGTGCTGCTCCCGTGCATGGCGGCAAGTCAGATGATCACGTGTGCTGCTACCTGCAGCCCAGGGACCTTGTAGTGCGGGGACCACTTCTGAATGCCAATGATTGGCATGGCCGGCGCAATGCCATAGATCAGAAATACTAACTCCGACATCGGCATGTAGCCTGTGGTGTACTTTTTAAGCATATCGCCTTTCAGCTTCAGCTTGTCGATGTCATGCTGGCGGTTCCGCAAGACACCTTAATCAGCCAAAGTACTCGTCACCAAAATGATCATCTCTTTGATCGGCGAGACAACGCAGCAGTGAGCTGCTGCTGCAGTGAAGAGGGATCAGCAGAGGTCGCAAAAGCAAGATGGCACTGAGTTTAGAGTGAGTGTCGGAGGCGGACTGAAGAGAGGGGAGATAAGCCATACTAGACACTGATGACATTGCAAAGTATATGGTACAACAATGGCATAGCAGCCATACAGTACGCGATAGCAGCCGATGCCAAAGGACAACGAGTCCAGGAACATCAGCAACCAAAGGCGTAACATCAATGCCGCAGCAATAGCAAGGGCAAAGAGCAAGCCAACGCCACCACCACCACCACCAGCAACAACAACAACACGCCGCGACCACCACCACCGCCGCCGCCGCCGCTGCCACCCGCCCCCGCCGACCCCGCCGCCCCCGCCACCACCGCCAC